ACTAGACCATCGCGGCGGGGCAAAGTTAAGAGTGTGTTTTGTCCCACAATGATGTGCGTTCGAGTGTCATGCGTTCGTGTGTCGTGTCATGCGTTGTGTGTTCCGAGTGTCATGCAAGACTGGAAATTGATACACATGCGGTGCGTGAGCATAAGTCGGAGCCAAATTTTAGCGTTACGTTGAAACCGGTTTACAGCACAAATTCTGCCTTGTCACAGCCAAGGCGCACCGCAGTTAACGCTGTTCGCGTTTCTTTCAGTCGGATAATACGTACCTGATGAAGTTGCTTTTGCAGTCTGGAATACACGTGCTGCAGTCATTCCGGACTATTGAGAAAGGTCTCCTCGACATTTCACATGAAATCAGCATATCATTCCAGCACAGGAACAGCGGGAAACATGAGTACAGCAGCACTCAGGTTGTGAAGTTTTGCGTTTGATTTTCAGAGCGTCTGCTCGCGTGGAAGTTGAGGGTGTTGCTTCATTGCGCTTGCAACAGATGGCGCCGCGCCCTTTTCTTGCTGTGTTCGGATGTATAGTAGGAATTACCTACGGATAGCTCCTGTAAGCAGAAACTATGGTTCTTAATGCATGCCTCTTGATACATGACTCGACCGATCAATATACCATTGTGAGATATTTTTATTAAGTAGTCATAATTGAAGTCCTTCTCTATTGTGCCCTTCAAGATACAATTGCAGCTTTCTACAAATCCTTCTTCTATACAGTCAACATCATTGATGAATAAATAGGCACACATTTATTGTAAATGTAGGTAAAAGGTACAGACATACTGCAGTATAAATTACAGCCTTGCACTCCAAATAACACAATTAGCTCGTGTTACATACAATTTAAAATTCCAATTCCTTTGAGAATTCTCATAAAAGTCATAGTACATTATTTTAACACTTTCTGTAGAGGTCACGTTCTGGTCTATCAGATTTTTAAATCCTTGAGCTTATCTCTGCAGCAAAAAAAAGCATTGAAGAGTAGAGCCGAAGCTCACACACAGATGAGATGTTTGTGGATATTTGATTGCTGAGCAAACATGTGCCATTTTCTAGTACTTAAGATTGAGCTACAAGCCTGCACAAAAATACTCAGCTGATTCCCAGCTGTAACCAGCTGCCCTGTAACTAGGACCAATTCATCCCAGTTAGTGCCAGTTAAACCATTTGGACTCCAGGTTACACATTTTTACCTGGGATCAAATTACACTATAGTAAAATTACATATTATGTTGCTAATTGTTGAAGAGTGGGGAGGTAGTCATTGACTACCTACAAAAATTGTCATATTGGCATGCATATAAATGCACGCACGAATGCACATATAGGGATAGGGATTGAAGGCTGAACCCCCCCTCTCCCCTTCCCCCCCCCCCCCCCCCCCCCCAAAAAAAACGTTTTGTCTATGCCCATAGTGCTGATCATACAGGAGACGCTTTACACTAATAGGGGCCTATAAAACAGTGGAGCTTTGGTGTTGAACGGCCTGCCCCTTTATTATATCTTGTGCAAATAGTAAATGATAGGTTCAAAGAGAATACTAATTTTGGTTTTTTGAGAAATTTCAAATTGAATTCAAATAGTTTATATCACATATTACACAGAAAAACAAGCATATTTGTCATGACCGGAGTAACCTCTACAATATTTGCTTTAATTTGAAAGAAGCCATGTGTAAGTGTCATTCTTTTTGGTATGTGGTGAACATAAATGCACCATGGCACCGCCATGGCACTGCCAAATTCTCACTGAACCCGCGAAACGAAATTTCATTTCTCCCCTCTGCTTCAGAAACGAAGGCGCGGAGAGGGAGAGAAAATAGAAAACTGGTCCTTAGTTCACCAAGGGGGTCGAGCTATAAAACTTGCTGGTTATAAATAGACAATTTACCGACAATCATCTCTGCATCACAAACGCAAATGAACCTTTTTCTCTTTATGCCTTTGTTGGTGCATCAGAACATAAAGTGTGGCAAAGTTTTTACAGAATGAAAAAAATACCTGTCTATACTTCCTCGAACAGTGTGTACCATTCTGTGGATGGGTCCAGCTTCTAGAAAGCCATGTATGTTTCACCTGACAAGTCTAGAGCTTTGGGACCTGAGATGTGTAGGCACCATTGTACACAGTGCTTGAACTCACATTGTATGTAGTTATTTGGGCTCTTTTTTTGGTTGCACAGCTAACCTAAGTACATGGATAGCATGAAACAGCATTAACCTTTTGAGTTTGAATAAATTTTACATTACTTTTGCAGGTTTTTTTCCATTATTCTTGTATCCTTTTAGCTTCCACATTTATTTGTGCTTGGCCATGCCCTGTAACTGCTGTTGTACATTTTTGTCTGGCTCATTTTTTATCATTCTTAATGTTTCATCTATTTACTACCAATGCTTTCGTATGCTTCATTTTTGTCAGTGCTTGTTAAGTTAAACTTTGCAACTTTATTTATCACCCAGTGGGTCCCTCTTTTATGATTATGTGCTATAGCTGGGCAGAATTTTAAAAAAAGATGCACTTTCTCCTAAATGGCAGATTGATATAAGCCTTCGTCAATTTGCACACATTTTAAACTAAAGTGACAAGTGGCTGCAATTCTGAAGTTGTAGAAATAATTTTCATCTGCATCAAGCCTCTCCTGCCTTCATAAATTGTGTCAACCTGCAGAGTTGGCAATTTATTATTGTTCCCCTAATGTGCACACAATTTATTGGCAAGCATTGCTGCAGGTAACTCGGACTATATCTTTCTTTTGTTTTGGGTATATTTTTGTGAAGCAGTGACATATTTTTAATAGATGAGCCTTATGATTAATAATTTTTTATGGTCATTCGGCGAATAAATTTATGCTCATTGGAAAGAATTATTTTATATTTTTGAAAGTGTAAATGTGGGGCCCGAAACTTTATTGTGCGTTATTGCTTGAGTCAGCCTATGTATTTTTATGGCAGTAAAAAAAGTTCACCACATACAATGCCCTGAGTGATTACTTGCAAGTTTTTTGTTGCACCACTTTCTCTGAAAAAATAAAGTTATAAACATAACAATGCCATATGCTGAAATCTTGCTTGCTGCACTCAGCTCGAAAAGAACTACATTGCAATGTACACAAGCCCAATCATTACTTTGACATCATCAACATTTTGTTTATGCATGTGTTGGTTTTTTTTGCATTGTTTTTTTTTCTTTCAATAAACTTCATTTGTTAGACAATGCTCATACTATGTCTTTTTATTCTTGTGCTCCCTCTTGTTCACACCGAATTTTTCAGCATGGCATCAAAGTGTGTAAGTTGTGATTTGAGGGGATTCTTCAACTTCAGTGATTATGTGCAAACACAGAACCACTGAAGTTGTTGCTGGTGCAACTAAGAATGAGGTGTAGAAAAAGACAAGAAACCAGACAGCTAATTTGCACTGTGTAAAGCAAGAGTCACATTGGTTAGTAATTTGTAAAGATTAACATCTAAGAGAAATTCTGTGTTAATGTTAAGTGGAGCGCACCAGAATAATTTGTGACCATCTTGTGCTTTTTTGTTTTCTATTCTTGGACATGCACCTATATATCCGAGAACACTGGAGCGTTTGTTAGTGTTTTACCCACACTACATGCAGGAGAAGATATGAAGTAATTTGTGTCTGGGTAATCTTTTTTGTTACTCTTATGTCTCAAATCTACATGTAAAATTTATATGCCATAGCTTAAGGTAATTGCTTATTCATTAATATGGTCTTCACAGAATGCAATGCACCGAATATACACATCACTGCCTGTATGAAGCAAAAAAAAAAACAGTTGGCTGCACATAACAATAAAGCAGTCATACAAAACTCACATTTCACTGGCAGGAAGTGGAAATGTTTGATGCTCTAAACACATACCTTAAGCTCTATCATGCTATGACTTGCTGTCCTATCATTAGGAATGTAAAGGGACCCATCGTGAATGATATATATAGAGCCCTCCAACCCCACACTGTCTGAACAAGTTCGCCTGCATGAATATCTGAGAAGTAGTAGGTCCTGTACTACTGGGTGGTGTGGTGTTGAGGTTTCAATAACTGGAACAGATCTGCCTTGTATAACGAAATTCATCATCATCATCATGGTCATCATCCATCTCACTACGCAAACTGCAGGGCTATGGCCTCTCTCATTTACCACTAATCAACCTGGTCCTGTGCTTTTTGTTGTCATGCTATACCTGCAAACTTCTTCATCTCATCTGCCTACCTAATTTTTTGTCATAATCTCACGCATTTGCCTTCCCTTGAAATTCCGTCAGTTACCTTAATGACCAGCAGTTATCCTGCCTATCTACTATGTAGCCTGCCCATGTTCATTTCTTTTTTTTTATTTCAAGTAAATATTTTACCCCCGTTTGTTCTCTGTCCAACTCTGATCTCTTCCTGTCTCCTTAAGCAAACCATACTTTTATTCCTACATAAGAAGATTGAACACCTCCATGTTTAGATGTATGGCTCATGTAAAAGGTTTGATAGTATAGTTGTAGTCTCCATAAAATCTATAGCTAATAAATACATCACATATAGTGTCATCATAGGTTCCAGAAATTCCAGCTATCTGTACTGTGCTGGAGTTCATTGATCTGGCACCATTACAGACATGGTGAATATTGTTCAACTAGAAGGCAGCTTTCTCATGTCATTTGTTTCCGTAACATCACGACCTCAAAGAGCAGATAATCAGATACATGAACTACTTCCTTTCCATGCAATTTAAAGGGGCACACCACCTATCAATGAGTACCAGGTCACTGTGGTATTTCTCGTAATGACAAAGCTGACAGAGCTGTCTGACCTCCCCACTATGTGTATATACCAGTACGGAGAACAAGTTCATAGCCACAAGGCTTAATTCACTTGCATGCCAGCTTATACTGGCAGTATCAAATTTAAGTGAATTGACCAATTATTAGCCTAACAAAATTAAGGATCCTTATATTAGCGTCTTATTCATTACTCCAAACAGAAAACCAGCATTCGGTGGCATGGCTGCATTCGCTGCCATAATCATCTTCGGTGTCATCATAGGAGTGCAAACAACCTTGTCTGGTTACCCACCAACAATGCTGCCTTTGTATGCTGAGCGAAGGTGAGGGCTCACTTTGTGTGATCAATGCAAGTACATGTCTGTGTGGGAAAGTGCGTGCCTGCATGTACATGTACACAAGTCTTGAGTCAAAATGTCTGGTTATGAAGTGCATTCGGATTGGCATTTTGGTTATTTTTTGCAAATGCATGCATCAAGCACTCCTTAAACTTTTCAACTAAAATACCAATACATTTAGTAGCAATTTTTTGGGATAGATATTTCAATATGGTACAACATTATTAACTCTGCAATGCAAATATTACTTCAGTACTTTTAAATTTTAATACATTTGAAAACTCATGCATATGTATGCTGGGATAATTTAACAAATCTATTGTTTCACACAAAAACAGAATGCAACGAGGACCAGAAAAAGAAAAAAACAGACAGCAGTGCTGCTGTCTGTGTTTCTTTTTCTGGTCCTCCACCTTTTTCTACATTTTTATGTTACCAACTCACCCAAGCAACCACTTTAACTAAATTTATTCGTATATACTTAATTCACACTACCTGGACAGTGTAATTTCTCATACCAGTATTGTCCATAGCTTCAGGTTCTTTGTATGAATACATGGAATTGTGTTGTATGCTTCATGAAGTATAAATGCAGGTATTTGTTTACAGTAATGCAAGAACATTTATAGATAGAATGCGAATTGACACTGTGGATTGGTGCTGTGTTTATTTTTTTCATGAAAGACGCAAAATAAATGCTAAGTACAGTGCTCACTGCAGAATATTAATATGTGCAACCTGAAGCTATATACATGGCCATTCTCTGCAGAATCTGCAGTCCAATGTTATTTTGAGCAACTAGGTTAATTTAATACTTTGAAGTACTTTTTAACTCCCTATTTTATGATGTATGGTAGCAGAAAATAAAAGAAAATTATTTTTTCTAAAATGTTGCACTTTTCTCGCAGCCAGTAATATTTTTTCTATGTCCTGATTCTACCAGAAGCAGCTTGTAAAAGCTCACCAAGGTGAGCCTTTGGCTCTTTCCAAAGCGTTTCTTCTTTAACAACTGGCCTTGAAGATATACTACAGTCCCAAAAAGATGCTGTGCCACTAAGGAAGAAAACTCCTTGCACTATTCAAACTTTGTCATCAGCAACAAACACGTGAAATTTAGGCATCCAGGTTTTTTCCCTCTTGTCAAAACTTTCCTTCAGATAAAGATTGGCGATACTAGCATTCAGAAGTGGTTACTAATGCAGCATAAATTAAAGGGGTCATGAATCAGTTCTATAAGTAATCATCTAATGATTTCAGTATCAGAGTTTACAGCCTCACAAGCTGGTTCCTACAAATATTTCTAAAGTCTGTCAAAAGCAAGCAGAAATGAAGCAATATGTAGCACGCTTTAAGTGCTTTTTCTATTATTTTGACCTGGCAAAAGCACTAGACGCTTTGCAGAGAGGTAAGGCACAAGAGTGAGATGTTACATGAATGTGCATTATGACATGAAGCACACTTGATAAAACATGATTGCTGCCTCCCACCTGGGTTTCTGTGCGCAAGTGTGGTTCACTGAGCAATTTTAACAGACTGTAGAGTGTAGCACCAACTTGTGGCAGCACCCCGTGGCAAGAAGCACATCCGACAAATTGCCGCTCATAATTTATGATGGCGATTGGCCAATAGTATGCTATATGCTGTTGGATGACTAACAGCAGGCAGCAGCAACTTGGAAGAGAGTTAGTGCAGACACTGCATGACAGAAGGGCACCTGAGAAATCGGTGACTTGGTGCTCTGCTTGTATAAAGATTCCTTGCCACGGACGAACGCAAGTCTTAACTGAGGTGTACAGGATGTGTTTTCTTACCAAGCCCAAGGAGTGATTCATGATAGCTTAAAGGTTTCTTTCACAAAGAGCTTTGGGTCCATGTCAACCCTGTAGCGTTTTTTTAAGGAAGCCAGAAAAAACAGTTGAGCTGTGAAAAGGCTTTTGTGAACTTGTGAACCAAACAACATGGCACTGCACACAATAGAAAATTTACATCTTCCAGTCAAAGGCAACTAAACATTGCCATCTCTCTTCTTGGCAAACATTTTAAAAACCAAAAATAATTGTGTGCTACAAATAGCATTGGCTGATTTCATGAAGTATGTGCCAGCATACAAATTTGGAAGCTTCATAGCACATTGTGTGGCCGCCCTTAGTAGCCGCCCATAGAGTGCTGCCGCATTCATGCACCATGCACTTCTGAACCAACATTAGCGTCCTCTATGGTCAAAGAAAAAAAAGAGAGAAACTGTACCAGGTCATGACGTACAGCAACGTAGCTTTTATACCATGCATCGACCCCTTGCCATTCCTCCCTTCATGGCATCCAGCATGCTCATGCTTACTAAATTGGAGAGGAAGCACTTGAAATGTGCAATAACTATCTGTAATTCTTTACGACGAAAAACTGTAAAAATGCATTAACATGGAAGGCACATACACCTGCACTTGTGCGTGTGCCCTTGCTCATGCATCATTGACGGAGTTGAAAAATTTTGCAGCAGAAGCTTTGTGAGGCAAAAGAAACCAACAGTAAAGCTATTTTAGAACTTGAAAAAGTATTGTAGAGCCCCCTTTGTTAACTGGCATTGCATATTTGTCTGTTTTACCCAGTCTTGCAATAAAGTGCATTTCGTGTGCACACCACACTAATAACGATCATGATCATGATCATGTTAACCCTTTATTGCTTGAATTATGAAACTGCCAAATAACATAGATATACTTTTCATTTTCCAGCTATAAATAGTGACCTTTAAAGGATTTTACTGTTACTTAATCTAAAATGCAACTTGAATGCATACTTTTATGTATGTCGAGAATTTTCTATATGCCACAGAAGTCAGGACCATGCAGTAAAAAACGTACTTCAGAACTACATAACATGTGGTGTAGCCCTCTTGGGTGCATACATATTAAAGACTCAAGATTACCGATCACAGAACATAGATTGGCAAGAAATAACAAAGAAGTAAGTGAGAGCTTTTGCGTGCACTTCACGTTCTACGCCATCACCTGCAAAACAACTGGTTTCAGCATAAAATACCTTAGACGAGATGGCGCTAGATCTCTTATACTGAAAGCTGAATTCCCTGTGCGTACTTTACAGCTGGAATTGAAGGAAGGTTCGTGACTTGTTTGCTGGAAGTTTTTTGGTATGCCACAAATTCGTGACACTCAGCAGTAAAGGGTTAATTATAAATCATGCTATCACACTGGTTGTACAACTTTGTATACAAACATGCTAAATACTGAACATCAGTCATCGTGTTCCCTATCACAGGGTCATGTTTTCAAGAAATCCTATGCCTCCATTTTTGTTTTGTTTGTTTGGGCAGGACCAGCATGAACATGTACTTGGTTGTCAAGCTCAATAGCATTTTCTAAGTGTTTCATCAGAATATATGTAGACAATCCTTCGCTTTAACACAATTTGTCTGTTGCTCTCTAGCCGTGTAATGGCTATGGTGCAGGACGTGGTAATGCGACCCTACACTCACGCAGGACCCTTCACAGTTGGAATGTGCACAGCCTTCTTGATCTTCAAATATCCTACGACCAGGATTACAAAGGTCAGCCATAACATATCTATAGCATTAGCCGCAAAGTCTTGCTCATCCGCAGTAATCTATACAATCAAGTTGCCAGTACAATATTGTACTCAGTAATTGTGGTAGTGTGTGAATGTGGCCTAACGGGAAAGCATGTGACTCAACTTTACTCAGTCACAGAAAATGAAATGCAAACAATGCTCTTTGAGCTCTGCTTAACAGTTCAAATTGCTTCTGATAGAGGCTTCATAAAATTGCGTCTTACACAGAGCAATATACAGTGAAATATCATTGATATGGTTTTCACGAGAGCCAGAAAATAAAACATACTATGCAAAACTTGTATTAACCATTGAGGTTGAAAAAAGCAGAAAAACATAGATACTCCATCAGTAGTTTACAACATTGCAATAGCTGGATGATTGCACGCCACTTTCTTCTTTTCATCAATAAACACAGCAGCTATGCCTGCAAGTTATCTTTTCAATGCAAAACTGACAATGTTGTGTCATCAGCAGATCTTAAATGGGCAGATCGTGGCTTGTTCAAAGATCAAAGAATGAATGTAAGATTTCCAGATATGTCAGTCAAGTACCATTCTTACAATTTTGTTATCCAATTTTTAAGAAACATTTGATCGTATTAAGTGCATGAAATTGCACTTTTTATAAGAAATGTTGACTGGGAATAAAAATAAAAACGTGATATGCAAAAAAATTTATTATGCAGAATTGTGTCAACCACATTCCACTGTAGACAGCAAAGGAGAACGGTCATTTCCATCGCAAGTGAACATCAGTTTCTTAAGCTTTATATGTGTACTTATGCATTTTATATTGTGTAATTATTGTCACATTGGCATTAATTCAAGCATAATGGAACCAAGTATAGATAAAAGAATAAAGCTACTACACTATGCGTACTCATATTTTTATTTGCACCAAAACTGTGAGGAGACATCCTGATTTGTCAGTGCAAGTGAAATCACAAAGTGTGCTGGTAGGTCTGTGCATACAGTTTTCAGCGATCAACAACCAAGAATAATTTTATGCAGACCAAACCACCAAATATACAAATGGTCATGTTTGTCTTGAGAAGTTGTAAACAAGGACGACATTTGCAGGTAGTGCAAGTGGCACTGTGGCTCTCGTCGACACTGTGCATGGTTCTCTCACTATTCACCACGTGGAAGTGGAACCGTAATGTAGAGGCCACAGACCTGGAGACCCTCATCTACTCATCATTGCATCGCACCGGCTGGGCACTGGGCCTGGCTTGGACCGTGTATGCCTGCCTCACTGACAGATGCAGTAAGTGCCAACTATTATATCCTACATTGATCTAAGAGTCTGGTAAGCTTGCAAATCTATACGAGAATTTGCGATGTACAGATTCTGATGCTCAGGAAAATGGCCTATCTTCAAGAGTCTGTTGGAAAGAAACTTTTCAGCAGACACTGGAAACATATGAAGAGCATTTCCACATAGCAAAAAGTATGTTTACATCATAGCAACATCGAAGTGAAGTGAGCTAGAGGCTAAGGTACTCGGCTGCTGACCAGCAGGTCGCGGGATCGAATCCTAGCTGCGGCGGCTGCATTTTCGATGGAGGCGATGCTGTAGGCCTGTTTGCTCAGATTTGGGTGCACGTTAAAAATCCCCAGGTGGTCAAAATTTCCGGAGCCCTCGACTATGGTGTCTCCATAAGCATATGGCGGTTTTTGAGAAGTCAAATCCCACATATGAATCAATCGAAGTGGAGTCGAAGTGGAGTAATGAACTGCATACATTTTGTATATGCACAGGCTTCACAATATGGAAGGTGCAAAATATTGAATGTCTTGAATGTAGAACCTACAATTATATGAGGACATTTAAAAAGAGATTTTAAATATTTTCACGGCTGGCGTACAAAATAGTGCATTGATCGAATTTTTGTCAGAATTACTAAATGCGATAAATATATGGCTCTGTGCAATGTAATAGAGAATTTATTAGAAAGTGGAACAAAAATTTTGTGTTACTTGAACTGAAGTTTTGGGATCATTCACAACAACGTTTTGTGCGTATATATATATATATATATATATATATATATATATATATATATATATATATATATATATATATATATATATTTATATATATATAGTTATATATATATATATATATATATATATAGTTATATATATATATATATATATATATGTATGTATGTATGTATGTATGTATATATATATCTATATATATATATATATATATATAGTTATAAACTTCGAGAATAGTGCAGTATAGGAAACAAAACAATAAAATATTTATTTAATCCTAACATTTTCGGCTGGTGGACCAGCCTTCTTCGGAGGATGTAAGTGAAATGATACAAGTTCCCGTAGCAGAGGGTCACCCTCACAGTTTAAAGACCCTCCAAAAAAAAGAGACAAACGGGCGAACGAAGTAGCAACAGACAACAAGAAGCAGAAGAAGGAGAGGAACTAGAAAGGAGCGACGGAGAGCCGCCGGAAACGAGCGGGTAATTCTGGCATTGTTACTGGGTATAGGTAAGACGCGCCGCCAGCGGAGGCGACCAAGAAAAACGGAAAAATATGGAACATGTTGCCGCTTACTCGCATCCCACACATGGATTGAGTTTAAGTTCACGTGGTTCGGCGGCTGGCCCGTGGCATCGGGCCACACACACACACACACACACACACACACACACAAGAAGCATACGATCCGCTCCAGCTTTCGGAATATAATGGCCACGTTGGAAAGCTAATGTGCCCTCTCCCCCTCTCTCCACCTGCCCTCTCTTGCAGAAAAATGTACAACCAGTTATACTGAAAATAAATGAATGGGTATTCTTGTAAAGGATGAACAAACAAAAACGTAAACAAAAAATATATAAAAATAAATAATACTGAAAAAGTACTCAGAAATGAAAATAAAGTCTAATAATACTAATACACGCCATTTGGTTCACGTACCATCGAATTCGTTTAGTTTCACGCGCTATATTGACCAACTTACGTGTGCGACTTCCCGTATGTATAAATAAATTAATTGAGTAATTCAATTTCTGTGTTTCACGAAACGTCGCGGAGGCACGTCAGTCGCCCAGGGCTCTCGTTGATTCCGTGGGTAAGTGATCTGAATTTCTTTATAAAGTATGACTCCTGCTGTTCGCGCTCCCGTGTGTTCTGGAAGCCGGATTGTAGGAGTATGACACACTTACGCATTCGAAAGAGTGACCAGGAAGATTGATATGTTTGGAGAACGGCAAATTGGGGAGGCCCTTTACGTGTGCCCTGTGGTTGTTGAAATGCAAACGGAACGCGGTTTCCGTGTGTTCAATATATTCCTGTTTGCACACCTCACAGCGAATTTTGTATACCACATTGGCTGAGTCACAGTTAAGGTCGTCTTTAATTTTGTACACATAGTCTGAACAGGAGGCTTCAGCCGTATCTGTGGTCACCATGTGTGTGCACACCCTGCAGCGAGGTTTCCCGCACGGTCTACAGCCCTGATGGTGGTCGGATTTGTGTGTTTTCGCCCTGACCAATAAGTCTCTCAGGTTTTTATTTCTTCAGTAAACCACCTTGGGCGGAGTCTGAAAAATGGCAGAGAGGCGACTACTCTGTTTAAGTATGTTGAAGTGGCGGTTTAGTATAGAATTCACCCGAGGGGCGGCGGCGCAGTATGTGAGGATTAAATTTGCCCCTGAAGTTATATCATCTTTATTCCCACCTTTTTCTCCCATTGTTGATTCTCGGTCCAAAGAGCGAGCGCGCTCAATTTCATTGTCAATTATTTTTTCGGGGTACTTTTGATGCAAGAAGGCTGTTCTCAATTCCTGTGCGTGGGTGTCAAATTGCGTGATTTCAGAGCAAATTCTTCTGTATCTGTGGGCTTGAGAGTAAGGAACACCTGTTTTGCAGTGATGGGGGTGACTGCTATGGAAATGCAGATACTGTTGGCGGTCTGTTGGTTTTTTATACAGGGAAGTAGACATGGTGGTGCCACTGAGTGATACAGTGACATCCAGAAAGTGAACACTCTTCTGCGAATACGTGTGCGTGAATGTTATCGAAGGATGCACGGAGTTGAAACCGGAAATGAATTTAGAAAGATTATGTTCACTATCGGCCCACACAAAGAATATATCATCGAGGAAGCGTCGGTAAAATATAGGTTTGAATGGAGAATTTTCGAGGAAAGGAATCTCCAAAGAGGCCATGAAAATATTTGCGTAATTTGGGGCCATTTTAGTTCCCATGGCAGTTCCGTTTACTTGCAGATAATGTTTTTGGTCGAATTCAAAGTTATTATGTTTAAGTACCAGATTTAGGAGCACCTCTAAAGCGCTTTCGTCGAATTCACTCGTCGATTTACTTTTTCCATAGGTCGCGACTGTGGCGGCGATTCCTTCGGTGTGGGGAATGTTTGTGTACAGTGATGAGACATCCATGGTGACCAAATAGCAATCTAGAGGTACCACAAGTTTTGAGACTTCTCGAAAGAAGTGGCTGGTATCTTTGATGTATGATGGGAATGATTGTGGGATGTGCCTAATCAGAGAATCAATGAAACTAGAAATTTTTTCAGTAGCAGTACCGTTGCTGGAAACTATGGGTCGGCCGGGATTGTTAATCTTGTGAATTTTTGGTAGTAAATAGAAACACCCGGGAGACGATTTGCCAGGGGACATCATTTTAAGCATAGGGTAGGTTATCTTCCCACTTTTACGTAATGATATTAGTGAGGCCTTAATAGTACTTTCATACTCCTCTGTCGGATCACCAGGGAGTTGTTTATGGAAATTTTCATCTGCCAGTTGGCGAAGCCCTTCTTTGATGTAGTCAGTTATATATATATATATATATATATATATATATATATATATATATATATATATATATATATATATTTATAACAGCAGTAGTGTAAGGCCAATTTCAATGAAGACCATCTAGCGGCTGTCTACCATAATGAACTGCTCACAGACCAGCAAATTGGGGGCAAATGATTTGCTTTCAGCTTTTATATATGTATTGATTTTAAGTTTGTTACTTATTCCCATTTGAGATTACGTATTGAAAGAAGTCTGCTCACATTGTTGAGTTTCTACAGCATTTTAAAGCAACACACGGGCCTTCAATCATTCTTACCACATGTGGTTTCTTGAATGCTCACTCAAATTTTTCACATGAGTACCTTTGCAAGAATGTGTGCTTAGGAAGATGGTAATTCATGTTCACTCACTTTTGTGTCCACTAAGCAAACAAGAATGATAAAGAATACTAGCACTGTGTATGTGCCATTCTTTCCCACCCTTGTAAGATAAAGTGCATTAACATTCCAACTACGTTGGGATGTGGTCACTATTACCAGAAACTGAGTGAGTGACCTGGAGCTTGACAAGCCTTATTCTCTGTGAACCACTACTGCGTTGGTGAAGGACAAAAGTCACCTAATTTGCTAGAATGGAACCAATGTTGACGCAAGTTACAGCACCATAAATGTGATGGCTGAAAAACACAGTAAAGTAACACAGTCAAATGAAAACTGTGATGCATAATTGGTGCATATTCTCTGCAGGAGCCTACAATAACATTACTCTAAAGCTCATAAAAAACTCTACATCAAACAATATTATTTTGCCATAAATACTAATTTATTGAAATTATTTCGCACACACATGCCAGACCTTAGGATTAATATAGTGGCCTAAAGGTGCTTGCAGTGAATTTTAACTCTACAGGTGGCCCATTGACAAGCCATTTTTCTTCATGTGACACTAAACACAAGGTGACATTGCACCATCAACACTCTGCCCAAAGTAAACATAGCTGAACTTTCAACAAATTTACTGTAATTCTGATGGCATACTTCTACTAAAAATATAGGTTTGCAAGTCTTGTAGCAATGAATAAAAGAGTAAATTGCATAGTTCCAGAAAAAGGGTATACATTAGAGCTGCGTGAATAGCAAAATTTAGGTTGCAAAGTGAATTTGATAAGTGAAGTGCGAGTGTGAATTGAATTGAATATTTTTCAAATATTTCCAGAATACGATACGAATACGCCAAATCCATAACGAAAAAAAGTGTTGGAGAGAATTCCTAAGCATATTGCCATGTTCCATTTCCCAAGTTTTTGTTATCGTCCCAAAACACCACACGATTCTCAGCACAAACCGCGCCTGCAGTTTTCGAGAAGGTTCCAAACTGTAGTAGATCATTTCGATAAGATCACGCCCACTGTGCGATAGGTACAGATTGTTCTGGAACCTACGCCACCGCCAGCGAT